TATAGCGAAAGCACTGTAAATTTTATGTTTAAGATTATTTGTAAGGCTACGTATGTTTGAACTAAAAGTTATGCGTTTGTGAGTTATATTTGTTTTATAAAAACACCAACTCCTTGTTTGGAATATGAATTTTGATCAGCATTCGTGAAGTATCCAGTATATGATTTGGGTGGAATAGGATTAAAAGAGCTTCTACAATAGGTTTCTTGAAGCGATAAAAAGGTTGGATTAAAATCACATATGAGTGTACGGAGTTCATCAAAATTATTAATAAGTCCCTTAATGTTCCATTGTAGAATTTTAAAAACTTTATTTAATTGTAATGACATGGAGGCAGAGTGGAGGGAGGGTTAAGTTGACATGTCAGCGTCTCCGTCGAGAAGGTCGCTATAGGAATTTTTCGTGAATGATTTATTCTTACCAGCAGAATAATCTGTACTTAGGTGGTTTAGTACATTTGAAGCGGAGCAAGTGGGCGCAGGTGAATAATTTGAAATTGTAGGTTGATTAATGGATGAAAGAATGGATTCATTACCACTTGTGATTTGTTGAGTAGAGTTGAGAGCTGGAGATTCTGGAGAATTTGGTATATTAGATTTTAGCATATGTGTTGTTGTTTTAATTTTCTCAATATTTGGTGTTGCTTTGGTTTTCCCAATATTATCTTTGGCGGGTGATGGAACTGATTTCGCAATATAATTTTTGGTTAACGGTGGAACCGGTTTTTCATTGGAAGGAGTTGGAGTTAAAGGCTTATTAGGCTCGATTTGCGAGGCAACAGTAGCTTAGGTATTACTTTTGCTCATTCCTTGGCCTACAGATGGATTTGTTTCCCGGTATTTGCGTCGCGCTTCACCCATGCTACAGTAGTTTTCTGTTTTGATTTTTAGTATTTCACGCATCTGTACAAAAAGTGGGCATTGTTTGTCTAACGCCGAGTGTTGATCATAGCAATTTATGCAGAAGCTACGCGTACAGTTTTCAGTACGTGGAGGAAGACAACAGTTAGCTCAGGATGGAGGACTGGTGCATCTTTTTGCCGTATGACCCAGGCGTTGGCAGCTTTTGCACCTCATAGGGTTTGGAATGTAGAGTTCTACTTCACATTTATACCATGCCACATCAACTGTTCGCGGTGATCGATAGCGATCAAAGGTTAAAATAATTCTTCCTGTAGGAGAGCGTGTTTTTCCGTCATCATTCAGTTTGGTGAATTTATATACTTCAGTCACTCCTTGCTTGCCCATTTCGCGAACAATTTCATCTTCCGACACACGCTTTAAGCACGGGGCATAAATTACGCTTTTAACTGAGTTAAGTTTTTTATGCAGTTTAGCGGAAATAGTATATAGATTAGCTAAACATTTTGACTTTATGAGCTTTTCGGTTGCGTGCGGATTCCCAGCGAGGACCAGCAAATTTGTATATTTGTTGTAATGCAATGTAGGGCTCTTTTCAAAGCAAAAGGGCTAATTTGGGAAATTGTTAGTCTAGCATCGGTTGAAGAATTAACAATATATTTTTTATCAATAGCAGTGACGTCACTGATTTGCAACACCGGCAAGTCGGAATTTTTAATTTTTTTTTCTTCGGGGGGATGTGTCAGCTAATAGATGAAATCTATTTGAGTTTTTATCTGACGGCCCCGGGACCATTAAACCTTATGGTTGTCTATTATTTAGTTATTTGTGAAATAACCACTCACTTAAAAAGGTTTGGGAAACTACTGGGGATAATGTGAAATGTTTTCAATCTTTTTTTTTTTGTTGGATTTAAAGGAAACATATACGGTATCCGCGATGATCAGTTTTAGCAATAAACACACAAAAAGTTTAATATATATTAATAAATTTGAACACTTTTAAAAACGCATAAAGCAATAAAGAAGAAATTGCAAAATTTTTTTGCACAAAGAGAAAAATATGACCACAGCGCTTGTACAAAGTTGCCGTTGTACTGTGTGTCTATGTATTAAAATATATATTTTCAACAGTAGCCAAAATGCTCTCTCTCCTTCGTGAGACCTTTTATGTCGAGATTAGTTGGCTTTTAGCTAAAAAACGGAATACAAAATAATCAGTTTCAGATAAACGAACTGAAACATAAAAATGACAGGTTTTTTTCTCCTTGTACTGCAACCGCTTTGAATCATGTCATTTTTTTTTTTTTTGGTTTAGACATCTTTAATTGATGACGTTAATAAACAAATTAAAAAACCTGGAATATTAATGTAATGTATAAGAAAACAATAAAAAGACCGTTTTTTAATTATTCATACATTAATATATTAATTTATATAATAGCAATTTATTATTGCATATCTCTGCTAAGCCATATAAAATCGATATACTATCGGTTGGTAGATGCATTATGATTTCATATTGCGTGAATGCGTTAACAATATCAATAACTCTCAATTTAAATTTAAAAGTTGGGAGCAGGTCGAAATTTTTCATTATCTGCTCCTGCAGATATGCCGCGACATGCAGTGGGTTAGCAAGTCCAGGAAATTACCATCCGTTTTCCAACTGAGATTGAACAGCGCCGCTTGAAAATCGCGCTCGTCGCGACAGTTGCCCGATTTTCTAAAAACCCAGCGGGCAAGATATTACTATTTTTATTGAAGTTCGTTGTTATTACTTTATTTCTGAGTTTTGTTGAATTTTCTAATGATATTAAATTTCTTTTGGCTCGGTATTTATACTATTTTCTTTACAAGTTAATTTGTGAGAATATATCGCTGAATTTTTGTGGCTAAAAGTCAATGAGGTTATACAAATTAAAAAGTTTCTGCGCTAATTTATATCGCTCGTAAAATAGTTTGCAGGCGCAGTCATTTTTAGTTTTTATACAATTTATCCATGAATCATATCTATGTATACCGTATATTGATTATGATATAAATGGTGAAGTGGATAAATTGTTATATATCCTTAATTCATCAATCATTTTTAGGGAGAAAGTCCATCAATACAACAATCGTATGCTTTCAATAGATTTTCCAAATCTCTTGCTGAAACCATTGCTTTTTTTTATCGTGGAGGATAATAAACGGATGAATTTATAGAAACAACTGATGAGTATGCTACTATCTTAATGTTATTATATTCTCTATCTATCTTTTTTTTTTTATTTAAAAAATAAGTTTTTTTCTTTTCAAACATTCTCTTTATTTATTAAATTGAACTTAATAAAATTTCGTAATAATATAACATTTTTCAGAGCATATCTATATTTACAACGATGGTAATTACACAAATTTGTATTTGTATCTGTTTTATATAGATTGAGTACGCAAATTTCTTCTCCAATTAGCGTCTTCACCCATTTCAATTTTTCAATTCCTTTATCATATACAGTTGGATTTTGTGCGTTTTTGATAGACATCTTTAGATATTCTTCAACATCTGTTTACGTTGAATTACCATCATCCCATCGTAATCCATGAAAATGATTATACAGCCAGTTCTTTGTAGTCCTATCCTTTACCATTAACTTTGAATATTTGAATGGATGTTGAATTATGAAATTTTTACTTTTGAGTCGTAGTCGGATATGCAAACTTGTTTTGGAATAAATTTGTTTGCACTATAGAAACCTTGCACATCGATAATATTTATTTTATCTTGACACATTGTTACATGGTAATGTTCTCTACATAACTAAACACACTATTTTTATAGTTCCCTTTTTTTGTTTGATGATGATGATGATGAGAAAAAGAGATTTTTTTTTTATATTAATTATTTTTTCAAAAAAGTACAATGTTTACATTCAATTATATTATATATTATATTATAATAGAATTCCATAATTTTATTTGCTTCTTTTTCTCCTTGTATTTGTGTTCTCTCATAGTATGTGCAGTTACATGTATCTGGTCCACATATAGCCTTCTCGTCTGACCAAACGCAGTCCTCATAATGTTCGTCATAATTGTTTTGATTTATCGTGAGATTGTTTAAATATTCCAGATGTGATTGAATACTGATAAGTTTCTTTGTATCTTCATAGGAAACAATATTCATGAACGTCTTTAAAAATCTGTACATTTTTTTTATTATCATATTTTTTTTTCCTGTGACGTGTTTCTTACTGTATACTCATACGGAGTGTTTGTAAACAATAGTCGATATTGATTTTCTCTTTTATTAAAGTTTGAATTTTCTCTTTGAATACCACCACCACCATCACCATCATCACCATCAAAATTTGAAGGTATATCATTAAATTCAAAGCAATAGATATTAAGCTTACGATGTACGTAATTACTATAAAAGCTGCATTTGACTCTAATTTCACAATTGTCATATTTTAAATTGAAATGGCGGTGGAATGCTAATGCACTTTCAATAATACTTGTGATATTTGCTTCTTTTTCTATTAAATATTTTAAAAGCTTTAATTACATCATTTATTATAAATAGTTTATAAGCGCCATGTCTTGATGGTCTATTATTATTATTTGTTTGTAAGATTGTTATTCGTGGTGATATTGTTGTTGTTGCTTAAATTTTTTATTCCGATAATTGGGTTAGCAACTGAAGTGATAAATGTATCATGGTGCGCGTTGTATCGTTTGGAAGTCTTATTCGAAAATTTAAATATTTACTTGTGTCAAGATTGAATTTAGCAATTCTATTATCATAAAGTTTATTAGAATGGGATTGTGCATTATAAATATTGATAAAAATTAAAATTGCGTATAGTGTTGAACCGTTGATTTTCATATTGGTTTTTTTTTTCTCTTGTTCAAATTCGCGATATTCGAAGAAATTTATTTTTAGTTGTCTTTTCTCGTTGACACTTTTACAAGTCAAACAAATAGGTACATCAACATTTTCATATTTGAGATTAAAATGTCTATAAAATTGTTTCTCAGCCTCCAGTATACCGCCTATATCCATATCGAAATTGATTAACGATCTACCAAATGCCTCTACAGCGTCATCCACTGAAAAGTATTTTAATGGTGTTTGTTCTGTTGTTTTTTCTTGTTCTTACTGTGTCGTTGGTGCTTCAATAGGTGAAATAGTTGTACTAGTTGTTAACGTTGTAGCATCACCTTGATCTTTTAAAAATGATCATTGTCTTTAGTTTCGAGTGCTTCACTTACTTTCATCATAACAAATGATACGTTAATTTTCAGAGCACCATCGTTGCGTAGAGTTGAATTGAACTCTACCGTTTTTGAATTCCAATCTACATCAGGAGTGGTAATAGTGAACGGTATAGGATTACCCATCGCTATTTTTTTTCTTTTACAAACGCGCACTGCTGTGTTTAAAGATATAATGATGAAAAGTAAATGATATATGTAAATATATATGGAGAGAAGAAGAACATTCCCTTGTTTTATAAAAATTCATGTATGTATATTATTTTATTGCTATTTTATTACAATTAACAATATTTTTCTTACTTCATTTCTAAGTCAAATATTTTATCATGTATAATTAAACAGAATGCTGATGTATTAGCTGGTATGTTACTTGAGGCTTTCAATTCAATGCGAATATCGATGGGTCTGCTTTTAACCGATTCATTTTGAAGTATTACATCCAAAAGAACTATGGGTGCAAGCGTTGGAAACTCATTACGTTTCAATAGCGGATATGAATCGCATGAATAATAACTTTCTTGAAATTTTGAATACATATCATAGAGTAAAGCGAATTGATTTCGACTGAAGCTAAGATTCAAATCATCATATGGATATGAAACGGAATTTAGATGTATCTTTACATTCGTTAAATTGCAATGAGTAAATTTGTTTTCGGCGTTTCGAAATGCTATAAGCAGAAAACGCGGTCGTTCATTTTCACTGGCTAACTTAACATTCCACAAAACAGTAACACTGTGACGAAATGTAGGATAATAATACATATCCCAAGTTCTAAAGCATATATTTAACGGTTGACGAGAATAGATTTTCCTAAACCGTTCCAATTTGCAAACATCAGCAAGTTGAACATGTGGCATCTTCCATGTAATACTCAAAATATTTAATTTAATTTGCTCATTTGCCAGGGTAGTTTTAATAGCCTGTTTATCATCTTTAGATCGTAGTAAAATCAATTCATGTTTAGAATTAACTATGATTTTATTGAAATCTTCAGCAAATCCAAGTAGCATCTTCAGTGGTATACAAAAGTTGAAATAAGCGCTCACAATAGTGAGTTCTTCGATATTAAATGGTGACCATCCTGCATTCAGTAGGTTCTCACTCTCACCTTTATTCAATGATGTGATAGTTATTATTTCCGTTGTAATACCCAAATGACGTGTACGATCATTTTCTATACTGCGAAGCTCATATCGAATTTCATCAAATAGATGCGACATACAATTATTTGACAGTTTTATATTATTAGACATTGTACCATCTTCCTTTGACGCAGTTCCTTCAACATATAGAAAGCTTTCGCTTGGTAGGACATACAAATCTTGACTTTGATTTGATATACGAATTTCATTATATTTTTAAATGATTGTAAATACGATGTGTAACTGTGATATTCGTTTTTTGTAATTGAATTATGAAATTGTGGTTATTGTAATATATTAATTATATTACTCATTTTTTTTGTTTTCTGACTATTTTAGTTGAAACCCCAAACTATATAAAAATTCCTGATTAATTCTACTTAGGGTATTAGTAGTTTTGCTTCGTTTCGCCTTTCTTGTCGATGTTCCGGTTTAAGCTCTTTTTAATTCTATACATTTTCTTCTTGTTGTTGTTGGTTAATAGTGGTGTACTCCCTGATGATGATACCAAAGATGTTTCATCAATATTCATGTCTTCTTCTGCATTATGAAAGTCAGCTCTTCCTTTTTCTTGATTACCTACGTAATCAACATATGGAGGATCTTCTGTATTATGAACTACTTTTGTTGACGCAGCTGCGGTTAGAGGGATATTACGAAATATCCTCTTACCAGCTCTTCCACTCTTTCCGTACTTTAATAAATTCTTTTTAGTGTTTGTACTCCTTCTACTCCTTCCATTGCTTCAATAAATTTGTTTTGGTTTTTGTTCTTTTTCCTGCGTTTGGTTTATATCTCTAATTAAATATGTAGTCATCTGAACATCATTATTACCTATCGCAACATCATTATAATCAATATTATTTACATCATTAATCTCGTTATCATGTTCATTATCGTCGTCGTCACCTTCATCACCACCATTGTTATGATTTTCTTTTGAATCATTCGTAAATGATGAGTTCAGTGGTGTAGAAGTTTTATTATCAAGTTTTTTTATTGATCAGTCTCAAAGGTTTCGTTATAGGTTGAAATGAGTCTTCGGAATCAAGTAGAGGACTTATATGATCAAGTCTGGGAAGAGGTCATAGATCCCCTAATCAATGGTCTACATCAAGACAACCATGGCCAACTCCAACCAATGGTTGTTGAAGCGTCAACTAACACTCACCTAAGACACAAAAACCGGTTCATCAACCTACAATGCAACCATTTCAAATTCGTTGCCGCTTCCAAAAAGTAGCCATTCCCGAATTCGATGGAGACTACGGCAAATGGAGAGAATTCTACGACCTATTTCTTCACATGACCTGCAGCCAATGCCCAATGTACAAAAAATGTGGTACCTATAGGCTAATCTCATAGGAGAAGCCGATCGTTTGGTTAGTCATCTAACGACAACTGAAGAGAATTACATATCCGCCTGGACAACTTTAGAGGAACGCTACAACAATGGCCGTATTCTTGTCTCAACATTGTTGGAGAAGATCATCAATCATTCAGCCACCACTTCAAATGCGACATCCTTAAAAACCCTTCATGACACAACGCGAGATTGTTTGTTGGCGTTAAACAACATTGGAATTAAGACAAAGGAATAGGACCCAATGTGAGTGCAATTTAATAAAGTTGATACAGTATCGTGAGTTTATCGATTATCTGTTTAAGCCCTATGCTGCTCGGCTGCAGTACGCCAAGTCTATCCGTCTTTTATAATGCCAAAGTGTCTCGGCATAAGACGGTCACTAATCTTGATAGTTCAGGCGGATTGAACGCCTTGTGTTCTTAGCGAGTAAAACGCTAGGTTGAATTGCTTTATGAGAACTGATTTTCTTTATTTTCTTACGCACTATTTATACTAAATTTTTACACTAAACTATTCTTATCTTATTCTAAACAGGATTGTAATTGCTTACTAAATTATCCTTATCCAACACTAGGTTATTCTTATATAAACAGAATTATCACTGTTTACATGCGAAGTGAAGTGTGACATTTTATTTTATCAAAAGGGCTATGCTGAAGTGGCATAATTTTGTCACACTTCAAGTGGATGCATACGATAGTATGCGATCACACTACAGCACATTCTAGTCAAAAAACTTGATCGAACTCTTCTTATCAGGTTTGAGCAATCCCTACGCTAACCAAAAGAATTGCCAAGCATTGGTGATCTGTTTTCATTTTTGGAATTTCAATTGCAAACTATGGAAACAATAAATCACAAGGAATTGCCATCACATGCAAACCACAAAACGGCTTCTTCAGTTGTACGGACAGACAAGGAGAGTGAAAATGCAAACACTGCTACGTAGGGACGCATCCACTACACCAGTGTACCAAATTTCTACAGTTATCCGAAACAGACGGATGGAGATACGTTTAATCAGAAAGGCTATCTTTCAACTGCTTAAAGGCCAGCCACTCTTCCAAGAATTGTTCATCTGGCCCCTGCAGGAAACACCACCCATTGCTGCACCTGAATCAAGCTCCCTGGATCAAATCCGGTGCCAGATAAGATTCAAGCTCGACCGAACCCAACATCATCCACTACTCAACCACCTAGGGTTGAATCAAATGCATCAAGTGCAGTCGTGACGTCAGCAGCAGCAGACAACTCAATACTACATAAGAATTATTTCTTACTAGCAACGGCAAGAGTAAGAATAATTGCGGCTAACGGAAATTCTGCAAAATTTCGTGCGATTTTGGACCCCGGTTCATCAGTAAACCTCTTGTTCGAACGCCTAGTCAGGAAATTAGGTGCTTCAACATGTGAAACGTCACCACTTATTGATGGCGTTAAGAACGGTCAGAAAAGGGCACCAAGACGAGCAAATGTAAAATTATCAAAAGGTGCCAGCTTCATTACAGATTTGGAAGCCTTCGTTCTTCCATCAATCGTTGCCCCTCAACCAAGTCATTCAGTGGGCGTATCAGGATGGAAAATTTTGAATAAAAATTTGGCTGATCCATACTTCAACCAACCAGGAAAGGTCGATATTCTATTAGGTGCCGAATACTACTTTGAACTAATGCAAAACGGAAAAATAGAATTAAGCAGCGGACTTCAAACATTCTTAAACACATCTCTAGGCTGGATCGTCAGCGGCAAAGTATCCGTAAATCCAAACTCAACATGCATAGCCACATGCGCTACCTTAACGGGTGATACAGAGGCTGCCAATAATGAGGCACTAAATGATGTCATTGAGCGCCTATGGAGAATGGATGACGATGGACTATTTGACAAGGGTTTATCTCAAGACTAAATACAGTTGCGTATGGTACACGAGCCGCCCCATATTTAGCCACGAGGTGCCTTTAGAAGATTGCAAACAAGAATGAAATCAGTCACTTTCTAGGTGCCCAGATACTAAAAGATAATTTTTTTGTAGACGATGAGCTTGCAGGATCAAACACTCTAATAACCGCAATAGAATCCCAACGACAACTGATCCACATCTTAACAAAACATAGATTCAGTTGCCGCAAATAGAGCGCTAATCATTCCCAGCTATTGCAAAACATCCCACAGGATCATCGGGAAGCCAACCTTGACTTCAGCAGTGATGATAAGGAATCGTTTGAAACCTTTGGGCTCATCTGGTTACCAAAGATTGACCACCTTTGTATCAAGGCAAAGGTGGAACCAATGAACTAGGCACAATACGCTCTGTAAGCTCTGATTTGGCAAAATTGTCTGATCCACTTGGACTTTTAGCGCCTCTTGTAGTAAAGGTAAAAATATTCATTCAACACTTATGGCAATTAAAACTAAATGGGATGAACACTTGCCAGAAGAATTAAACACCGCATGGACCAACCTCCATGAGAGTTTGGTCACTTTAAACAACTTACAAATCTCCCGACATATCTTCAAGAGCGACCTTCCGACAATAATCCAAAAGCACCTGTTCGCTGATGCTTCTGAAAAGGCTTTTGGAGCTGCTGCATACATCCGAACCATTTTTAAAGACGGCACAACAATGGCATGCTTCCTAAGTGCAAAATCTCGAGTAGCAACCCTCAAAAAACAAACGCTTCTGAGATTAGAATTGTGCGCAGCACTCCTGGCTGCACAACTCGCATATCAATTACGTAAGGATATGCAGTTAATTGATCTACCGATTTATCTTTGGACTGATTCCGAGATTGTGCTATCTTGGATAAATTCACAATCATGTTCTTTTCAAACATTTGTGTGCAAGTGTGTGTTGAGTTCTAAGGATAATCCAGCGGACATTCTCTCAAGGGGACTATCAGCAAAGGCCGTCGCAGAAAGCCAAATGTGGTTTCTTGGGCCATTATTTCTACATAGCAGCTAAGAATGTTGGCCGACACCATTCCTGCCACAACTCTAAGTTCCTACCAACCTTGAACGCAAGAGGGACTCCATTATGGTACAGGCAACTACATGCAATTATGAGTTGATTTACAATATCGATCATAAGGGTTGTTTCGGCAACAGTGAATCATCTCCTATGTACTTCGCTTCATTCGACTATCTTCACCCAGATGTTCCTCAAAACCGGATCTTAGAGCGTTCACCACCAAGGAACTTGAAGCTGGACTTATGGTCATAATTTATGCAATTCAGAATTATGACTTCCAAAATGAGATCAAACAATTGCAGAACCATCAACAGATTGCAAAACAAAGTCCAATGTGCACACTGTCTCCGTTTCTTGATGACAACGGAATCATTCGAGTAAGTGGGCGGTTACAAGAATCCGTTCTAAGCGCGCGTTGGTTTAACTACTTTTCAAGCTTCACGACGACAATAATAATAATCAGACAACGTTTCTGGCCTATAAAAGGAAAAATAAAAGCCAGAGCGACTGTACAAAAGTGTGTACAATGTAGCAAGACACGTCCTAGATTATGTTAACAAGAAATGGTCAATCTTCCTCAAGCACGAGTAACATCGGCCAGACCATTCATAAACGCAGGTGTTGATTATTTTGGAAAATTATGGATCCACTATAATATAAAAGGAAAGAAGCCAACAAAGGCATATGTAGCACTCTTTTGTGGTTTCGCTACAAAGGCAGTTCACTTTGAAGTAGTAAGCGATCTTTCAACCGAAGCCTTCAAGGGAGCACTCAAACGATTTATTAGCCGGGGAGGACGCTGTCAAAATATTTATGGTGAGAATGCAACAAACTTTGTTGGCGCCAGGAACAAGTTATCAGAACTCTCTAGTTCAATATTTTCCGAAAATGAGAAACAACTCGTTACCTCAACCTTCAGTTCAAAGGGAATACAATTCCATTTCATTCGACCAAGGGCACCTCATTTTGGAGGCCTATGGGAAACAGCCGCTAAATCAGCTAAACACCTTTTAATCCGCAGTGTAGGCTCAGCTTCATTAACTTATGAAGCATTGGAACCTGTGATCATTGAAATAGAAGCAATTTTAAGTTCGCGTCCATTGACTCCCATGTCCAATGATCCATCTGATATTTCCGCCCTAAGCCCTGGGCACCTATTGATTGATGAAGCTCCTACAGCTCAAGTTGACACTGAAGCCAGTTCCAAGAAACTTTCACTTCTGTCAAGATGGGAACTCGTCTCTCAAGTTAAATACGAATTCTGGAAAAGATGGTCCAATGAATATCTTCGCGAGTTACAGCAAAGTCATAAATGGAAGAAACGGTCTTCCAACACAAAGCCAGGAAATATGGTGATCATCAGAGAAGACAACATTCTTATCATGAAATGGCCGTTAGGACGAGCTACAAATGTATATCCAGGAAACGATGGATCTGTTTGAATTGCCGATGTAAAAACCCCATCTGGAATTCTTAAACGAACCATAAATAGCCTCGCCTTGCTCCTCATTGATGATAAGAATTCAGAAGAACAAATTACTTCAAAGGAAACTAAAGACCAAGATGTTGAGCCAGAAATCAAAACAATGAGATTGCCTTCAACCAATCTTTTCCTCAAACTGTTAGCAATGTTGCTAATACTCCCCATGGTCTTTGGAACTCGAACAGCCAATCAGAAACTTGGACCTAAGCTTGGAATCCATTTTGAGGAAATTGGCTCCACTACTATATCCACAAGTCAGTGGAATCTGATTGTATATTATGACCTACCAAGCTATTGGAGCGTTCCTGGTCAACACAAAAACATCTGCGGAACTTCTGCACAAAAATGAAACCAAATGTTTCATGTCTACACGCTATGGAGCATTTTCAACACGTAGAAACTGATTTGGACATCGACAACAGATTACTGCAAAGATCATGAAAGAAAAGAGGTGCAATAGACTTCGTTGGAAATGTCGCACACTCATGATTCTGAATATGCAGAAAAAATGTCAACAACAATCACTAAATTAGAAGAGATTCATTCATACTGATTTTTGCTGAAGCATCAAACATCGATCGTCAATTCAACAGCAAATCTTATCAAACAAGGTCTGGCCTCCACTAAGTCAAACATCGACAATCTGCAAATTGAAATTAACAAAATATACAAGGGCGAACAGGCACCTCATGACGAGCTATATCAAATCAAATTAACCCAGCTTTTCAACTTAAGCATTATGCACTTAACTCTCATAGCTAATAGATTGCAAAGGATACAAACATGTATTCTGGATGCGCTGATTGATACCCACCATGGAAAAATCAATCTGTTATTACTAACGCCAGTACAAGTCGAAACCGACATTAGGCAATTCAAAATCCACTTGCCTCAATCATTAGAGCTGCCTGTTAGTTTATAGAAATTGTAATTCTATAAACTGAATTCTATTTGTAGTGAATTTGCATCGATCGCTATTTTTTACTGTTTCTTCCATTTTCAAGTGCGGGAAGGAATTGTGGGATGAAACATTTGGTCGAGTAATATCAACTAAGCTAAGTCTTTACTATTCTGAGGTATTAACTGTTATTAAAAAATGGCGAAAATTCCAAACTGTTATTGTGTTTGTGCCATACACCGCGAGTTATCCCAATGCCAAAACTTGGTGGATTCCTTCCTTTAGTTCCGATCTTGATATTGTCAGCACTTGGAGGTTTGGCTTCAGGTGGATCAACTATAGTAAAAGCAGTAAATGATATAAAAAATGGAAGAGAACAATTAGCAGAGGCTGCTCGTCATAACAGACATATTGAATCAATTGGTATGGGGAGAGGATCATATCTTAAACCCTATAGAAAGGGATATGGACTTTATTACAGACCAGCTGCAAACAACTTTTAAAGAACCTACCCAATCGACAGCTAACAGACATCGATCTGATTGAGTACGGTAAACACCTCAAATATTTTAGAGGTGTATTTATACGTGATTCTTTACCTAAAAACCATTAGCACAAGAATGTGGTATTGTGAATCTAGATACTTCAAACGCTTCTAGAACACATTGGGTAGACTGCTATAAAAAATGCAACTATAAAGAATATTTTGATAGTTTTGGAAATCTACAACCGCCAAATGAAATAGTTAATTACTTAAAATCTCCAATCCAACACAATTATAAGCGAAAGCAAAAATATAACACTTTTAATTGCGGCCATTTATTTATATTTGAAACTTTCAATAAATATAAATAAAAAATAAGACAAAAATGTTTTTGTTTTTTTTAGTTATCATTTTGCTTTATTTTATGGTGTCCTAAGCATAGGCATCAATACCATTCTGTCTTACAAATCTCTTATCATCTAAGTAGCTTAAAACTAGTTTGAGCCGATAGCCTGTGTTGCTAGTGCTCAATGTCTTTTTTTTAGTCTAAGAATTCAATTCATTAGTCTAAAATTAAAATAATAATAATGATAATAAAACTAGTTTATTAATATTTTGTGTATACAATTGATGTATCTTTGATCAGAAAACATACATGGAATCATAGTACAAATTTTTTTCAAATAAATACTTTCTAAAGTCAACGGTTAGCTTAGCTGTAACACACCTTTTCCACCCTTAATTTTTTTACTTTCTCTTTTATCCTCATCGACTTTAAAGGACTACATTTTTGGTCGTAAACTAATGAATTCCTTTATTATTTTTCCATTACATTCATCGTTCATCATTCCTAAAACTTTCTTATTCAATAATGGGAAATCGAAAATATTTTGTGTAGGATATGCGGACGTATCAAAATCATAGGAGATATCATCTCGGAAGTCATCATATAAGTCATTTATTCCAATATCATAAATAAACGAATCAGTATTCATATAATTTAGATTAATATTTTCCTTATATTTAGGCTTTATGTAACCATAATGGAAATTGTACGTTTTCCGTTTGGATATTTCTAAGACGGTAAAACCAATGTAAATTGACTAATTGTACTCAACTCGTACTTTATTCATTTCATCCGAAATTTTGAGTGGACTATGAAAATTTGGTTTGGCTAGAAGACTTCTTGCCCCCAACTTTCTATCGCTATTCTCCCATTCGAAGACTATTTTAATAACTTTTCTTTTATCTCCATTTTCCATAGTCGTGACGTAGACAGCGTTATTCAGTAACTTGAAGAAATTCTGCTCGAAAGAGTTTTTAGCTAACGTTCTATGGTAATTGTTCAAATCCATGTATTTATTCAACCAATCCGATTGATTAAATTTAATAATTTTGTGTGTTTTTTTTTAAAACAACTACCATTAATAGATGAAAGTTCCTTAATAAACAAATGATAGTCGTACGCTGAAAGATTATGGAAAAATATTGGAATAAACGTTGCAACTTCATATTCCAAGTTACACTTATTATGAGCAAGTCCTCTATAATCACCTGTCAAATGACAGTGATCAGCTACCCTGATATCGAGACAAACAATTTCTCACAAATGCGGCAAATTGTATCTGTTTCTTGTCTCTCGCGTTCCGCAGGCGTAATAGGTTGAACTTTACATAAATAATTATTATAAATAAATAGAACATCTTTGACTAGATTTTGACAAAATGACTTGTTGAATTTTTCCCACTCTATTAATTTTAGATATATCGAATCCACACTTAACATTCTAACTGTAAGCAAATGGAATATGTTTTTGCACTGATAGGAAGTTAGTTGAATTTTGAACGTTAACTGACTATAAAATGCATTCAAACTCTGCCTCAACCACAAAACGCACATCCAATTGACGCTTGATGCTTTTAAGCCTAAGTATACTATTATCTTTGCTAGGTAATTTAGTTACCTTTTTTTACACTCCTGCTTATGTCTCTGCAGAGTATCCACACAGTGAAAATGAATTAAGCATACGTTACACATATGCACCGATGTTTCGTCAATTGTGATTTGATCAATCTGTAATAACATACAAACACACACGCTTGAAAAGCGCTTAATCCAAACATAATGAAATTTTCCATTCTCAAAAATAATTAACCACAAGAAAAGCATAATAATATTAATACACACATGCACAACGTAAACAACTGGAAGAAAAAAGCGAAAGTGTTCTTTATAACTAAAAACAAGACAAAATGTGGGTATAAATAGGAATATATCAAAACGCAATGCGACACCCCGTAAACCTCCTATGCTGTAGAGTATACTAAGTTTAGAACTTGGTTTGCAACACCACCGCAATACATACAATAAGCTTCCTATGCTGTAGGGTATAGTAAGTTTAGAACTTGGCTTGCAACACTCTGGATAAACAAAAATACATATTAATAACACCTTACCACACACGCAACACATACACACACATACATTGCAAGATCACCACAAAACCCTCTGGATAAAACCAAATTCGTCTTGATAGCCCCCATACATTAATTAATTAATTCTTTTTTTCATTAACACACATGATTAATAACACAAGAATATTTAAGATAGGTCAATGAATCATTAAAAAAAAACACAAAACTTCAAAAAGCACAACACAAAGCACAAGTAACTACATTGGCGTGACGCATCCCACAAGAAAACTATGACTCATCCCACAAAAATTTTTTCAATGTAGCGCATTTCAAAAACACTATCACCGGCAACATCTTTCTCTTTCTTCTCTTTCTCTCAAAAATTGCACAGTGACGCTGAAGGAACATATTATATCTACTCTAAGCTCAAAAATTCGCCCCACTTTCCTAAATCCAGTGAGTATGGAGATTTCCTGTTTCTTCACTGAAATTTGGTTAAAATCTTACTTACATTTTTCGGAACTTTTTCACAAATCCTTCCAGGTGTTTAGAAAGTATCGATTGGAGCGCACCGGTGGTAATGTTTTAATTGTCATATCTGCTGCCGTCCCGTCCGATTCATTTGAATTTCTTACCATTCCTGACGTTGAATTTATTGCAATTCGTAAGAAAATGGCAGTAAATAGTTATATGTAGCTTGCTCCTCTATTCCTCCTAATGGGGACATCGCTATTCATAAGACACACGCTACCCTCGTTTGTCACGTAGCCAAATATTCGAAAACTACTGACATAGTCATAGCGTTGGTTGACTTTAATTTGCCGCAAGTCACTGGGCGTTATAGTGATAATTCTGACTGTATGATCCCCACTTCAACATCTGATGGAGTTATTGTGTTTTTCGATGAATTATTCGATTGGAATTTATTTCAGTAGAACCATACTCCTAATTGTAACGGCAGACTGCTACATCTTTGCTTTGCCAATTTCCCGGAGATAGCTTAAAATCGGCGTCCACCTTTTAGTATACCTGATAATGCACATCATCCAGCAGTTCGCATTTCCTTTCATCATAAGCATCATGGTCCGTTGAACTATGTAACATGTTTTTTTTTAGAGCTGGCGTTATGTTTTGTAAACCTTGGCTAACCCAGTTACCAAGAA